GCTACTTCATGGTCAGGGCGGCTAGGGTCTGGAACCGGCTTCCAAGTGAGGTGGTGCAGGCTCCCACCCTGGGGGTTTTTAAGAGGAGGTTGGATGACCACCTTACTGGAGTCGTTTGACCCCAGTGCTCTTCCTGCCATGGCAGGGGGTCGGACTAGATGATCTGCTCAGGTCCCTTCCGACCCTAGAAACTATGAAACTATATATTGCATGGGTTTTTGAGATGTGCTTTTTATAGCTAGCTTTACTGTTGCTGGTTGCTGTGCCTCCGGTTCAGGCAAAACACAGAGCACACATCACCTTCCTCCCCCCTTCACCTGTCAGTTCACCCATGACACTGGAGCTGAATGCTATCTTGTAGTACACGAGGGCTCATTCAGTTCATATTCAGTTGTGACTCCTGGGCTTATATCTACAGCATCTTGGAATGCCACAGTAGTCTCCCATCCCTGTACTATCCAAACCTAGGGCTGTTTACCTTCAACAGTCAGGTCCAGCTGCCGTGGTCACTGTAGTATGCCACACTGAGCCAAACAAATGTGCCACAGTATGGCCTTGATCCCAGCAAACCTTCTATTGACTGCAAGAGCAGGCTTGCTAGCAAGTGTTTGAGTTTTAAATAATTACCATAGTGGTCTTGTGTTAGAAGAGACAAAAATAGATGAATATCACCATGGTCTGCTCACTGCTACTGGCAGAATCTCACGATACTGCTGGCTTAGCTGGTTCAAAGTGGTATACTCTGGCTCTGCCAGTACGCACACTCCCATCATAGCAAGGTAACCACGGCATGGGCAAGCCCTTTATATATTTCTTCTCTTACAACCCAGAGCTTCATTCTTCTTTTCCTCTTCAACCACCCATATGCAGACCACAACATGGCAGATCTCTTTAACAGGACAAAGAACCTGGTGACTGCTTCTGTCCTCCCTGTTGGGCATTGCTGAGCAGTCACAGTGCTTGAGGGACTAGCCAGGATGCACATAGCCTGGATGCAAAATTAAGGTTTAAGACAAGTAATAATGGACCAAAACCTGCTCCCAGCTCTGTGCAAGCAATTCAACAGCAGCTTTTCTATGGGAAATGAAGTTGTCATTTTTATGTCTGGACCAGCCTCTTCTTCACACTGTCTTGACAAGATTTTTTTTACTGTGCAGTTGACTATTTAACTGCACAGTAAACGTCCCAACGTCTACACATGTGCCCCTCTTAAGATACATGAAACTAATTAACTCTGCAGCAAAGTAAATACAAGTACCACTCCACTGCAGAGGTTATTCGTGCTCATTAATTACAGATGTAGGTTCATACACTCAGTAGCACCTTGCTCCACATATTAGACATAATGGAACTGATGGTGCTACTAAAGACAAACTGAGACTCAATATGAAAATGGCTGGCAGCACCTAACCCTGTGTCTGGTTGTCAGAACTTTATGAAACACTTTCCATCTCACTTGTCGATAGGGCTGTTAGCCAGAGACTAATTTCATTTGTTTGCTGCCTTTAGCAGTGTACAGTATATGCAACGTTTCAAACTTACCAATGACACTTTAGCAAGGACAGTCAGGCCCACAGAGTAAGCTAGCCACAGTTGGGCATCCTTTTAGAAGAGACATACCCATGGTGCAGCAGCCTTCATGCCAATGTCATGAAGGAAAGCCGGTATTAAATCATACAAATAAGGTTTAAATGTGGCTTTGCAGACTGTATTCCTCTGACGGAAATAAATTTGGAAAGCAAAGGGCTTAGCTGTCAAAAAACTCCACCTCAGCCTTCAGGTGATACTGACAGATGATTAAAATCCTAGGATGCTGGGAGCTGGGGGGCGGGGGGCATGATGAGCTACATAAGCAGCAAGAGAAGACTGTGAGCCCCTCTACCACCTAAGCAGCAAACCCTTACAGTAATCCTGTAGTTCATTAGGGGTCAGTGTTAATGGCTGAGAGGAGAGTAAATGACTGCTGAAACCTGGACTCAGTTAAGAATTCCCCAACAAAACTAAACAAAAAAAGATAGCAGCCCGAAAAGCAACCATGCCAAACGGATGTGCGAGCATCTGTGAATAAAGTATTACCATAGTAATAAGAATTTCAAAGCCACCAAGGCAAGCCTGAGTCAGATTTTGAAGGGCTGCCATGGCTCAGAAATGAATTACTCTCTAAGATTACATAAACTTCAGAAAAAAGTGTTTGCTGTGTAATTTTCTTGTAGCCTGTGTACGAGTATTAGTCAGGGGCTTTTTTGCCGATATCCTGGTAAAAAGGAAGGGTCAGGGAGTTCACAACAGCATCAAAAGCTTAGCCTCAGAGTTGAGGATTATTTCAGTGCCAGCACTGGCTGTTTATGTGCAATATAAAAGAGCCCCTAGGATGGGAGATGAAATCCCATTTAGAATCATCAGGATGACTTTAATGAAGAGAATCTGCTAGCTCCTGGCTCTTTTCCATTTTGCCCTCTAGTTACACACTCATCTTATCGGCAAAAGGGCCTCATGTTTTGCAGAGAAGATCTAAGATTCATTCTTTTTCTATTCAGTGCATTAATCCATGCAGTGGTCCAGAGTGCCTATGTGTTCTTTACTTGGGAGAGACAAGAAATGGGCAGTAATAACCTGAGCTAAATATTAGGTGTTCCAAACATGCAGTAATGACTGAGGTGGTGAGGGCATTAAATAGCAAAGGGCCTAATTTGGGCTATTAATTGTGTTCACTTTGTTATAATAGTGAACACAAGTTAGTTTACCTGTAATGCCAGAACACAAGGAAAGGAGGGATTATAGAGTCCCTGCTAAGAGCCAGGGTTGCCTAAGTATGGGACAAGACAAGATGGTCCTCTAATACCCACAGGGCCTGGAATAGCTTTGTTGACATTTCACCAAAGATGATATGGCTGCACCCAGGAGGCTGGGGGAAAGCTGCATGACATGAACATAACAATGGAGAGAGGAATATGAACAAGCAGGGTGGCAACTCCTGGTGGAGGGAGTCTGAAGACAGGATCTGGAGTCAGAGACCAGGAGAAGAGCTCTGTGAGCTGGAGAGACTGAAAGGAGAAGAGCAGAGCAATCTTGGAGGGTGCTCTGGGCTGTCTGGGTTAGACTGGGACAACGAAACTGCTGCAGTCTTTGTGGTGATAGGGTGGGGTGGCGTGGGAGAAGCATGGGTAAGCAGAGACCCTCTGACTGGTGGGCCTTTGCCCCATAAATGCCTTTACTGAGAGACTGTGCTTTGCTGCTTGAAACTTTGGGGTGCACTGCATCTCCTCAGCAGAAGGTGCAGTTCTTCTCAGGAGCAGAACTGGTGGATACTAGCTCCAGGAGTCAGGGCCACGGAGAATGAGGGAAGGCAGGAAACCAAAAGGCCAGGATTACAGAGCAGGAAGCAGTCTGGGCTCTCCCGCTGCTCTACAAGCCCCCTGCTCTACAATCTGCTTTCAGGGGATATTCTCAGAGACCAGACAAGGCCACAGTGCTCCCCAGCAAAGGATGATCTGTGACAGCCACCACTGACATACAGTAGTATTTAAGAGCTAAATCCACAGAGGGGCTTGCCTAACTGCCTTTCCAGGTGCCTAAAAAATCCCAAATTTAGTGTCACAAAACTTGGGCTCAGCCACCACCTAATGTTGTATGTGTCTAAAGTCTACTGGGTTCTTAAAGTTTTTAGTATGAATGTTCATAACATGCCTACAGTTCTGCTTCTGCACATAAAGTGCCTCAATCTTGACAGTGCTGAGTAGATCAGGAACTCACCCACCCCCGAGCCCCTAGCTCCATCAGGAATCACCAACAAGCTGCTCCTTGGCTTATCTGGCCTGTGGGACCATCTCAGCTAGATGATCTCAACAGACCAGGCTCCGAACAGATCTGAGCCAGAAGAAAAGTGATGGTCTAGCATTCTCTGGAACAAAGAACCCAGGTCTTCCCATCTCCAGCCTCAGGCCCTACCTTGTAGTCTACAGAGTTGTGTTAATGCTACCTCTCCCTGTCTGGATCAATTAATATTGAATTATTCATGCAAAGTGGAACACTTTCAACAGGATGGGGTAGAAAGCACCCATCCCTAGAATATCTGCAAGCCTGGTGGTTAGGACACTATTCTAGGAGTGGGGAATTTAGATCTTTTTAGTACAGAAGAGACTTGAATCAAAGTCACCATCATCAGAGTGCTCTAACCACTCAGCAGTGTGGTTGAAAAGGTAACGGAGTGGCACCGCCCCTTCCTGTTCTGGCTGTGTATTGCTCAGCATGCTGCCAGTCTCAGGCACCTCTCCTCTCAGGAGCTGGGGTGCCCCTCAGGACAGCAAGGTCTCATAAAGATTCGGCAGCAGATACTCAGTGTTTTGATGCCCACTTTTTTTGGGGGGGGGGCTCTAGCTCAAGGTCCCAAACCCAATTCAGCCTTTTTTAAACCCCCATCTACATCTTTAGGCACCCATGCTCTAGAAAGTTTGGCTGCTGGGCTTCTGAACTGCAGCAACTTTCAGGGAAGTTTAGATTCTTATGGGCCAGAGTTTTAGAGATATTTTGTGCCTAAAGCCACAGGAAACAGTGGGATTTGGGCCCCAAGGCACGCTAACATTCCCACAACACCTAGCTGCATATTTAGGCAACTAAGAGCCTTTAGAAATCTGTCCCTTATTGCCAAAGTCACTTCTGAGAACTGAACGCAGACTCCTCAACCACTTAAGTGCTCAAAAAGTTTAGCCATAGCAAAGGACTGTTTCATAAGGAGCCAGGTAGGTGGTTTCCATTCATTAGAGACGTATAAAAGCAGCCCCCAAAATCATCATCCATGAATAGCATGAAAAAGGAATGAAAGGCGCAGGCCTGTGCTCCGTGACGTGTGAGGTACCATTGCCATGGCAACCTTGGCAGCTTTTAGAAGTAAGGAAGGGGAGAGAGAGAGGAGGAAGGAGGAAACTCTCGAAGCCTCTCAAGTGTGCAAATGTTGGATCACTATAATTAAAAAAAAATCTAGTAATTATGCTAATTTAAAAAATCCCACTACTGTTGGATTAAGAGCACATGGTTTTGATCTGGTTTTTGTGACGCTTGTCTTGGGGCTTTGGGCTCTATCAAGAACTAAAAAGGAAATGAGTTTCAAAGGCAAACATAAGTCTGTGGGCATGAGTGTCACGCAGCCAGGAGGAAGATAGAAATTATATAACACGAGACAAATCCATCACCGAAGTTCTAATAATGCTAAAACAAGAAGAGCAAGCAGCAGAACAGGGCCCTCCTGGATGACTGGGGCAGTGCTGGACGAGGCTGGGCAGCCCCAGGGACTGGAAACCATTGAACACTGTTCTACTCTGCAAAGGGCCCATGTCACAAATTGAATTCTTATGTTAAGAGCTGTGGGTCAGTTTGTCTTTTCCCCAGGTACCCTCAGATGTGCTTTGTGAAGACAAAAATAGCTTTTTTATCTCCCATAAGCCAGACTGAAGAGCAAAAATCAATTTTTAAAACAATTGTTCATGTGCTGAGACCAAGCAGGACATTTCAGCCTCCAGGGAGAAATCTTTTCAGAAATTTCAAATGATGTGAGAGCAGTGAATCACACTGCAGGCCTTGATGACATTCTAAGTGGAGGTTTGTTAGCAGACTCCCATGAAGACTCACAGCAATATAATGGCCTCCCATTTTCAAAACTAACTCATGATTTTGGGGGCCCAACTTGAAATGCTTTACAAGGGTTTTTCAGAGTAAATTCTGGTTGTGTCTACACGTGTGCCTGACTGCGCAGTTGTTACTGCACAGTCATTTAGTACTTGCTTTAGCAGAGCTATTACTGTGCAGTCCCAGTGGTGCACAAGTCATTTCCAACCCTACTACACAGTAGCAATGAGCTACTGTCGGCATCACGGTTCGTGCCCACCAATGCTACGTTGCTGAAGCTCACGGCTAGAGTGACGTAGTGTCTCGTGTAGATGCGCCCACTGTCTACTTGCTGAAGCCCTTGCTCTTTTAAGATGTGGAACCCAAGAATATGGCCTCCTTACCCCTTTGAAAAAACACATTTCATACACAGCACAAAAGGGGAACACATAGCCATAAGGCTTTCATTTGGCATGGTAGAAATTAATCTGTGCCCAGCTTGAACATGAAACAGGCTGGTGAATCAGTAAACCTCGTCAAGAGGATTTAAATCCTTATGACAAAAATTAGCAGCCGTGAAAAACATACATCAACTGTGAATTCTAAGGTCCTGCATATACCTTGTAAAACTGTTATCACGGGATGCCAAATCACATTCTGGGTTTTCTATTTCACTGCAAGCAATTGTAAATCCATCTTCTAGAACAGACAGCAAAGGATGGGCACTGTCTTCATTAAGATAGAAATAAGTGCCTGTAAAACAACGAAAATTTTGTGATTGATTTCAGTCTCAGCACCTTAAACCCACAATCAGTTATAGACCTGTAACTTAGCTTCAGTCTAGAGAGTGGTGTCTCAATCCAGATTAGGGCTAGCCAGCAGACTGGAAAGGGCCCTGAGGCTGATTTAATGAGATTTCCTCCATTTGGGGCCCAGATCTCATAAGCAAACCTGCTTATCCAAAGCCTTACTGAAGCCAGAAAATACATCTCATCTAGCCTTGGACTTAATGAAGGAACAAACTGACTGCATTGGGTTGGAATGAGAGGGTCAGGTTTGGTTCTTTGCTACCATAAACTAAAAAACCTGTTTACTTAATTCTGAATTGGGCCAGGCATTTAACCCATTCACAAGGAACTCGATTCTGCTGCTGACCTGGGGTCGTCTTGGGGCTGCAGCTGTGGTGATCCTGGTGGCCAGCCAGGCTCCAGTTTTGTGAGGCATATGCTGCCCCTGCATGTATTGCCCCACTTTTTTTTTTTTGCACAGGTTTTTTTGGCCCTGGGATCTCCTGGAGTCAGCCCCCTGCCCCACGCCGCTACCTTGCAGCATGGCAAAGAGCTGAATGTGCAGTATATGGTGCCACAAACATGTCTGTGATGCAACATACTACATGGCCACAGTCATCTGAATGCAGCCCAAGTATCCTGCAGTGCAGTCCTAGAAGATCACCACTGAGGATGGCTCTAGCAGCACAAAGGGCTGGAGCAGGGCTCAGGAATGCAACACAGGGTCAAGCACTTTTTGTGCTAGGTCCTCACCAGAGGCAGCGCATGAGACCTGCTGGGCTGCGGTCACTGCAGACAGATGGCACAAAAGCAGAAGTGAACAAATCTGAAAGAACCAATCTGTCAAATCCCACAGAAGCAAAAGGAGTATCTCCTGCATTTCATGCCCGTGCTGTTGTAATAAGCAGAGTTGGAGAACAACATGGGGCCCAGCTCACTGATGCACTGGTGAGAAGTGGGTATAACACCACTGTGTTACCTAGGAAGACTCCCTGGCACTTGCAAAGAAGGAGCAGGTAGCCACAGCAACCCCCAGCACTAGGGGGCATACTAGGATACTCCAGGGAGTATGGGATGAGCATTGTGAATTGCTGTTGAACTCCCGCTATTGTTGCGACAGTGGCCACTGAGGTATATAGGCAGGCGGCTGTAAGTTAGACAAGTCCTCAGTGGCCTTTTGGCAAAGAGGAGGTACAAAGACAGGGAAAGCACTGGATTTACGTTTTCTCGTGTCTAAGCCACAGGTGTTTTAGCTGAAATTCATACGTATCATTCCCAGCAAAAGCACTTGCAGGTGATAACAGCTATTTTCATTCCTGGTGACACTCCTCATACCTGAGCTGCACATTTACAGTTTGTAATAATAACAATCTACATCAGCTGTTTGCACAGTGCAGATACAGGGGGAAAGAAATCTCTCCATACCAATCCCAAGAGAAATCAGCATAATCAAAATGCAGTTACAACAGTGTGAATACAACACAAACAATAATGTGGCAATTATTGGCATGCATTTCTGAAAGGGAAAACTTGTAGCAGGCAAAGTAGTCAGGAGGCTGTCTGTAATTTCAAAAACTCGGTTTGATTAAAGCACATTGAAATATCACACAGTTGCTGAAAACATGATTGCAAGTATGTAGGCTTGGATGTGCTGGCCGATTGCTTCTACCATTGATTGAATAATGACCTAGGAGCTTCCCTGGGAATTACAAATGCAATACAAAGCAGACAAACACTTTGTTACTGAATTTTTGTCAGAATTTTGGTAAATAGTTACTCCATGAAAGTTGCTCAGGGAATGAAAGCGTGGCAGAAAGCTCAATTTAACCTGTATAATTGTTGCTGAAAGCTCAGAAGAGAATTGCAGGAATGAAGTAAAGTGAGTTTGTTGGAAACTGGAGTCTTTCAAGATTTCTGGTGCTCTTACAGAATCATTACAGTGAAAGATTGGAACCACAATGAAGTAAAAGCAAGTATCCACATACTATCCCTTACAAATTAGTTCTGATCAGGCAGTTTGGAGGAGGCAAGAATGTCACTGCCTAGTGAAAATCTCCCTGAACAGGTATCTAAGCTTGTTAATAAATGTATGTGAGATTATTTTTTTGGTGGCAAGCACTTGGCAATTACTCAGTCTCAAGCCTGGTATGGATTGGGGTATCACCACTACCAGGGCCATCACTGTCCACCATCACTACCTCCACCCTGGAGAATTAACCTCCCAGCACAGTCGTCTTTCCCTGCACATTAGAAGATGCTCTAAACTGGACTGAAGAGTGAATGAGACAAATATCCATCCACAGGGCCAGTTTGCAGATGCTCAAAAGTATCTGTAAGATGGATTTGCATAACATAACTCTTATCAGAAGTGCTGATGAACTAATTCTTCCACAGTACCTGTGGTGTGGATGGAAACAGGCTCACTCCTTTCACTGGAACCACCCATGTTGACAGCTCTGACAGAGATCCGATAGCTGTGTCTTGGCTGCAGCTGAATTAGAGCTTCACAGTTAGGAATTCCCACAATCGATCTGTAGAAAACAGAGGAAGAATTATGAGCTACAAAATAAAGGCAAATCGTTTGAAGTTATTTTCCCAAAGAACACATAAAGAATTGGATTAAACTACTCATACCTCAAAGTATTTCCTTGCTTTTGCCCTTTTCAGGTTTGTTATTACTAGAATGAAGCTGAAGGGAAACTTCTGTGAATTATGCTGTCTTTAAATTAATGTGCTTCACCTGTGCCCCAGAGCCTTGTATGTTCACTTTCTATAACTGTTCATGCAACTGAGTCTGCTAACAATAAAGCTCACCAAAAGTGAATTCTAATTCAGCATCTGGGAAGTAAATTAAAGTTTACTGTCTGTGAGCCTTTTCAGCAAAATCCTGATAAGAGTTGCCCCTAACTAATCAAGGAACAAAAATAAAACCACATCTCATCTGATCAGTCATGAGAGGAAAACTGCTTAAATTGGGGATTTTCAATTTAAAGCTATTGGCATGGCTGTAATACGTGAAAATCTTCATCAGATCATTTCCACCAACAAAAAAGGAGAACAGTCACAATCTGTTCATTAACAGCCCACAAACAGACAAAATTAATAGAAATAAAGTACTTGTTGTAAAACATTCACAGTTTGAGGTGCCACTTAACAAGTGCATTAGCTGATCTGAATTAGTTTTAAACCGTCTATATTTTCTGCTTTTTCTAAAACAAAATGCTTTGTTTCAGATGGACTTTTGGCAACAGAGCTCCCCCCCCACTAGTTTTAGAATCTGATGGACGGATCTTCAAAAAGATAAATTAAGGACCTATAAATCTCACACACATTTATTAAGAAGCCTAGACAAGTGTCCGGGAGATGCTTAATGTCTGTAACATGGGAGCTATGGTTAGATTTCGATTACTGTTTAATTTTGCCTGGATTAGACAGAGCAATCCATTACCTTTGTAGTGGTATTTTCAACCCCATAGTAGAGCCAAAGTACAGGCCTATAAAATATCTGCTTGTCAGAGGTTGCTCAATCAATTTCTTCAGGTACACTGAATGCCTCACATTCAGGCATTCTAGTCTCATCTCTTTGCCCTAACAGTCTTGGTACTTCGAAACATACCTCATGCCAGCCAACACAGAAGAGCTTCATATCTATACACTATGTGACAGTTTATTGACTCACTCTGTAATAACATCTCCATTCTCTCCATTTGTTACTTTGGACAGTTCGACCGTGTAGGACTCAACAGGATTAATGTTTCCTGATTCCCAACATATCAGAGCTGCATTTTCACAGCTTCGGCTCTCTTGACTTTTAATGATAGGTGGTGAAGGTGCTAAAATGTAAGCAAAGTAGATTCTAAGCAATTTTGTTATGGGCTAAATGTGCTTTGTAGATAACACTCCTGGTAGTTAAAAAAAATCTTTTTTACAACAGAGTTGTTTTCTTTATACTAAACGGTAAAAGAAACCCCTTTATGGCTTTCCTGACGTACTATAAACTGTTGGGTAGATAGATGTAGGTACTATTTAGATAGCTTATTATTTGAGCTGTTTAAGTTATGAGAGCAACCACAAAACAATTGATCAGAAAGAAATGTGGGTGGATGCTAGTCCAACAATCCTGTTCATTTTTCATGTTGTTTGTCCTTGTCATGGTAATTTATCTTTACTGGATGGATTCTTAATTTAAAAACAAGAAGGCATCATCCATCAACCATCAGGCTCGTGGAGACCATCTGATGCGAGTGCCTGAAGATCTCACTTTCAATGACTCTTGAAGAGTTGGAGACCAGCGTTTTACAAAAGAAAACTAAGGACCGTACTGGATTCTGATGCATTTCAACGTATAGGGAGTTCCACAGGACCGTGAATCAGTGCCAGTGGTCTGACAGGTTTCCCTATTCTGCCACATTCTTCACCATAGTGTTTCCTTCTTTAAAAATTAAACTCAAACATTGCTGAACTTAAATGAAGCTGGGATATCTGAAGCTAACAGTTATGACTATCTTTTCACAGTGATGGGCTAACCCACGGCCCTTGATCTGAACACATTAAAATGCACGGATGTAGATCTGGATCTGAATCTTATGTGGCTCATTCTCATTTCTAATCAAACTCTACTGTGCTGAATTGTCATCACAAAGCATGTCTGACATAGAAATGGTAAAACTTCAGAAAGCTCTGAAGACAGAGCAACTTAGGTTTGTCCTTAGATACAAGAACAAGACCCAGGGTCTGTTCCCATGTCTGCCACTGACTTGTATTTTATCTTTTTCAGAGAAAAACACCATCAGAGCAGAGACAGGTCCAACAAAAAGTTCTTAAAGCATCATTCATGTTCACTTGCTTGCATTATATTAACAAAGTTAATTTACCTGTTACATAAACTGCTCTTTCACTAGCTGGACTGATGCCAGATGCATTTAAAGCACTAACCCAAAATTCATATTGTGTATTAGGGACCAGATGAGTAACTGTGTGGTATGTTTCTTTCACTTTGGTCATCAGCTCTGAAATGAGAAACACAAGGTGTTCATATAAGACTTTACACAGCCTGCCTCATATTTCTGCCTAACCTCCTCCAATTACAGCCATTAAAACATGGTCTTTGGGGCTCTTAATTTATGTGTCATATGCTTCACTTTATCATCCTTTTGACTAGCTGTCATATTGCCAGCTCATTCATGGCACCTTCTCCCCTCTGTCATTTGAAAAGATGCGAATCTGATGAAGTATCAGCTTCTGTAGCATGAAGCTGCCCAAATCAAAGCAATACTTAAAGGCCAAAGATGTGCGTTGTTCCCTTGGAGCAGGAGTCTTCGGGATGGGCTCTGCACAGCTCCACTCGGCGGCTGCTGTCTAAGCTGCACTGTCAGCTCATCCTAGTACTTGGACACCTGTTGAGGCCTTTTAAAGAAGAAGGTACCGTGTATTTTTCACAAGCTGTAAAATTTTGCCAGGTTCAGTTTGTCTTTCCAAACAGGCCATTTGGCCCTATAAGGCCTTTCTGGAAAATTGTGCTTTTAACAAAGGATCTTACAATTAGTATTAGCTAATTCAATCCTGCCACTTGACTGTATGGGATCTGCAACAATAGTTGTGTGGTTTTTCCTTCTGTGCATGTGGGTGGTGAGGAGCTGCCATCTATAAATACCAGGCATATAAACTGCAAAATGAGCGTGGGCTTTTCATGTAGCGCATTCTCTAAAAATACCTCTGATGTGCTCATCTGCTCCCCCCTCCCTTACCACCCCCCTCCCCGAGCACTACCAGTGACAGGTACAGCTATGTTCACAGAAACCATTTCAAAGACCAGTGTTCAAAATGGTTCCAGGATCTAGTTACTTTTCCAGCTGGCTTCTATACAAGCCCCTAAGTTAGTGCCTTCTTACCAGCTTGCTCCTCACTGGGTGTGTCATCGCTCACTTGTTTATAATAAAGCTGGTAACATTCAATGCTGTCATCTGAGAAAAGGCCCCAGCAAACTCTCACAGAGGTGCCAGTCGCTGAATTGGGAGCCTGGGGATTTATCACTGGTGCAGAGGGAGCTGAAATGAGGACAAATGATTCATTTCATAAACACACAGGTTCTGTATAAAGGAATAGGGTGAGCTGTGGATCCCTCTGCTTCTACAGAGTAGCCTCAATGGGAGCCTGTGGAGTTGTTCACAGACAAAAAAAAACACCAAACCCTTTAAGCTGACACTGAGCCACATCTCTGATCAGCATGGGTGCATCCTGGACCTGATCCTCCCCTCACTCATCCTTATATAAACCCCGGAGTCAGTGGTGTAAAACCAAGGTGAATGGGTTCTGTGGGCTGATCCAAGCTCACCCAGTTCCTGTAATTTGGCTTTCAAACAAAATGACAGAAACATAATGCTAAGCTTACAGCTTCTCCCGAAGCCTGACTGCCCCTAAGGATACCCTGCGAGTGCCTGCACACAGTGGAATTCACTCTTGGGGAATAAGGGAGGAGAACACTGGACGCCGTCTCCTATTAAGCAGGATGCAGAGCTAACAGGATGCTATGGGAGAGAGATTTGTATTATTCCCTGCCAAGAGATAAAGCTGTTAGTTCCAGTACTTAAGAGCATCTGGTGGTAAAGTTGAAAGCACAACATTGAGGGGGAAGTACATGTCAAACAGTTGGCTTGCAGAATGCAGAAGTGCAAACAACTCAAATGCATGAACATTGCTCCAGTGGACCCTTTAAGACCCAATGAAATAGAAAAGGGCTGGGGCCTTTTTGACTCATTATAATGTATAAAGAAAGCCTGAGTTTATTTTGAAAGCATCCTTTTCCCTGTGCTTATTTTTTTTAATCATTAGAAATTCAGATCTCAGCTATACTATTTTCCATGCAAGACTTAATGGAGACTTGGAGAACGACTTGAAAGATACCAGAGGGGTAAGCAGCTACAAATCTGATTCACTGAGAGAAGTGGTTTGGGCTTTTTCTTAATTTCAGCTAAATTCAACTAAATTCAAAGTGCTGGGAAGAAAGATGAGCTAGTTAGAGTCAGCACCACTAGTCTTTCAAGCACAGGCTGAGACAATTCAGCGCTCCCTTCTCTAAGTCTTCCCAGAGAAGACCAGACTTGACAGCCTTGATAATTCCAAGATAAAAATAAGTTAATTTTCACTTTCAATAAACTAATTTTCAATACTCCTTTATCTGTCATAAACATCACAAACATATATGGGGCCTGAGCTCCTGTCTTCCCTCTTACAGGTCCCCTTTAAAAGAAAAAAAAATAGCCTTCCAATTCAACATATACACCTTAATGTAAATAGGTTTGAAATATGGATCAAACAGGATGAGTACCTGGAACAGTATTAATGGAGTCCATTAGTTGTTCCATATCAGAGAAATCTATGGCTCTGTCTTCAAAGTCTGGCCGTGTTGAAAGCTCTAAATCCAAATCTTTTTTTAAGAATTTTTCCAGCCTATAAGTGTAAAAAGAGTCTAATTGCTATAAGATGATAGTACTGTACCCAAAGAGAAAGGCTTCTGACAGTAATTGTGTTAACGGTAGAAAAAGAGCTCTTTATTTTACCATTCAGCAGAGAAGCTGGTTTACCTCTGATGACATATGAAAAGCCCCCAGCAATGTCCCTAAAACAATGTTTAGATGTCCGTATGAAAGCCATCCCTCATACTTCATTCACCACCCCAGCCAATACTGTTTTTTCACAAACATTAGGAGAGATTTGTACTAAAATTTATTTGTATGAGATTTTTACTAAAAAATATTTATACCCAAATTTGGCTGAAACTTTTTACATTCTGTCCTCGTGCCCTTCTTGGTCTCGCAGTGGATTAGCTGATGTGATGGCTCTCATTCAGCAGTTGATAGGCAATATTTTCCCTTAATACTCCAATTCTGAAGGAATTTGTAAGTGTAGCCAGGTTGCCTTGTGCAAGGTGCTGTATGCACACAATTTTAAAAGTGAGTTCCCTTTCTCACCTGCTTTCTTTTACTTGTTTTCATGATGGACTGAAGTGAATTAAAACATGCATCTTGCCACTGATGTGGCTCTTTCTTTACTACTGCTATATTTCACACCATCGGTTTTGCAAACTCACCCCTGGATTTGCTAAACCTCTGTATGAATAACAAGTAATAAGCTTGTTACTAATCTGTAGGTTTAGACAGCTTGGTCTAGGCAGATTTCTGTCCTGAGCATTTCTTTAAGATCTTAAGTAATCCTATTTTTTCAGCCACTGAAATCAGTTTGCTATGACTAAGCTGAAGAGACACAGGTTTACTCAAGTTCTAGCTCTCATGCATGTGCCTTGTAAGGTCAGTTTAACATTACTTTCAAGCTGTTAAACTTAATTTGGAAACTTTTCCAATTGCAATTTAAATCAGATTGACCAGTTCATGAACAGCTTTGTTAGCTTCAATAACATCCTGTTGCTCCTCTGTTCAGTATAGAATGTTGTCACAAAATAGCAAATAATTGATAACTGGGGATATCTGATATGAGCAATTTCAGATGACTATACTGGCCATACAGGAGTTAAATACAAAATCTTGACTACTGATATTACCTGTCAACCAGGGCCACTGCAGCCTATAAGAAAAAGGGAGAGAGAGAGAAAGAGTTAAAGATAGAAAGTCTTTCATGTCTGCAGGAGCAACTTGTCTGATTAACCAGTGGAGACTACTGAATGCTAGATTTAGCTGATACAATGTTGTTAAAAATGCTTTCAAAGCATTTGCTCCAAAGCCGGAGCTAACCCTCTTGCTCTTAGCCTTTCGGATACCAAGAATAAAGCCCTAGCAAATCTTGTTTTCAAATGGCCAGTTACTGGCTTAATTTACTTACTGGGCATGTCTACATGAAATGCTTAATGCGCAGTAGCCTAATACCACTGCACAGTAACATGCGGGGGAAAAACCGTGTTAATATGCTACTGCGCAGTACTATTAGGCTACTGTGCATGAAGTGTCACTAAAAAACCGTGCACTGGTGCTACTGTGAAGTAGCTGTAGTTACTGCCCATTTAGTTAGTACTTCATTAAGCAAGTGCTAAACTGAAGAGTGGTCATTCCTCAAGGACAGGATACTTGGAGCACAAAAGAAGTCCATTCCCATGCAGAAGAAAGGTAGCAGAAGGGCTGGGAAGCCTTGTTGCCTAATAGGGATGTCATGGTCCTCTTGAAAAAGAAGAAAGAGGCATACAAACAATGGAAGGTTGGGACATTCCCCAAGGAGGACTATACAATAATAGCCTGCACTTGTAGGGAGCAGATTAGAAAGACTAAAGCAGTGACTAAATTTAAACTAGCAACGGAAATCAAGGATAACAAGAAGTCCTTCCTTAGGTATGTAGGGAACAGGAGGAAAACAAATGGAAGAGTGGGGCCATTGCTTAAGAACTCAGGACAGCTGATTACCCAGACTCAGGAGAAAACTGAACTCCTAAATGACAACTTTGCTTTGGTATTTCAATGGACTGAGGGGAAAATCATGCTAGATAGGGTACAGAATGGGCATGGTGGGAATGACCGCCTTCCTACTGTTGATGTTGAGCTGGTGCATGATCAGTTAGAACAGTTAGACATTTAGAAGTCAGCTGGACCAGATGAACTTTGAGTGTCGGACTCGATGATCTACTGAGGTCCCTTCTGACCCTAAAAATCTATGAAATCTATGAAACTTCATCCGACAGTGCTGAAGGAGCTGGCTGAAGTCCTTGTGGGACCTCTGGCGAAATTCTTCCAAAAGTCGTGGCGCTCAGGGGTGGTCCTCGAAGACTAGAAGAGGGCCAATGTTGTGCCCATCTTCAAGAAGGGGAGGAGAGAGGACGCGGGCAACTATAGGCCAATTAGCCTAACTTCTATCCCAGGGAAAATCCTGGAAAAATTCATCAAGGAATCTATGTGCGATAGGCTTGCAGAAGGTCGGATTCTGAACAACAGACAGCACGGCTTTGTTGCAGGCAGGTCTTGTCTTACCAATCTCATCTCCTTCTACAACCAGGTAACACGCCACCTGGATAAGAGAGAGGAAGTCAGCATTGTATACCTAGACTTCCAAAAGGCCTTTGATCTGGTATCCCATGATGTTCTCATGGGAAAATTGGAGGATTGTGGGCTCAGCTGCTCTACAGTCAGGTGGGTAGGAAGCTGGCAGTGGGGTAGGACCCAAAGAGTTCTCATGAACGGATCTGTGTTGTCCTTATGAGAAGTGGCCAGTGGTGTTCCTCAGGGGTCTGTGCTTGGTCTAGTGTTTTTCAGGATCTTTATCAATGATTTGGATGTGGGGGTGAAGAGCTCACTGGCCAAATTCACGGATGACACCAAGTTATGGGGGACCATGGTCACACTTGAAGATAGGCTGCAGATACAGGCGGACCTAGACAGGCTGGCAAGTTGGGCAGATCAGAACCAAATGAAGTTCAACATTGAGAAGTGTAAAGTGCTCTATCTGGGGATGAACAATCCCCAGCATACAGGCTCGGTGGCGCCAAACTGCCTAGCACCATGGCTGAAAGGGACCTAGGGATAATAATAGACCATAGTATGAATATGAGCCATAAGTGCAATGCTGTAGGCAGCAGGGCAAACAATACTCTGGCATGCATCAACCAATGCATCTCAAGCAAAACTAAGGAAGCGATTCTTCCACTTTACTCAGCATTGGTGGGACCACAGCTGGAGTACTGCATCCAGTTCTGGGCACCGCACTTCAACAAGGACATGGATAAGCTTGAGAGAGTCCTGAGAGAGCTACCGTATGATCAGAGATTTGCAAGACAAGCCATACAAGGAGAGGCTGAGGGACTTGGGTCTCTTCAGCGTAAAAAAGAGAAGGCTGAGAGGGGACTTGGTAGCAGGTTACCACTACATCAAGGGAATACATCAAGGGCTCGGCTAACAACTGTTCACCAAGGCACCCTTGGGAAAAAGAGGAGTAATGGCCACAAACTTCTTGAAGACCGTTTCAGGCTTAACACTACAAAAACTTCTTCACAGTCAGGGTGTCCAGACTGTGGAATAAACTCCCTCCAGAGGTGGTGCAATCACCTACCCTGGAAATCTCCAAGAGGAGACTGGACAATCGCCTTGCTGGGGTCATCTGACCCCAGGTGTTTTTCCTGCCTAGTGCAAGGGGGGGCTGGACCTGATGATCTTACGAGGTCCCTTCCAGCCCCTTACAATCTATGAATCTATTAATTTATTAATCTAAATGCACAGCAATTACTGTGCATTAATAAATGTGTAGATGTGCCTCTTACGTACTTACACAAGTTATAATTCAGCACCCAGAGTCTGTCCCTCCACATCCCACCTTTGCTTCCAAGAATGCAAAGTGCTTATCAATGGTCACAAGCAGGAGCAACCAGCATTTGGGGCAGGAGAAGAAAATCTGTGGAGAGCGCTGTGTGTTCTTGGTAAATATAAAAGGGAAGACACATCTACTGGCCAATAACAAAATGCATCCCACCAGCCCCACTGAAGGTCACTCATTTAATGGAGGCTGTGATGCACACTAATGTAGGACTTTGCTTAGCTAAGGACTGCATTGATAAAATCCCAAAAATCTAAACACCATCCTTGATTTGAAATCAGTGAAGCAGCTTATAGCTACTCTTCTCTTTATTCTAGAAGTGCAGCCCCTAGATAATTTAGGTCCCAGCATGCAAGCTGAACAGCTGATTTGAAACCTGTCTCCATAAACTCAAATTCAAGAAATTCCCTCTACATAATGTAATGGGGAAGGGAGACTATGGTCTCAGAAGAGATTAAAAGCAGTTACTAGAGACAATACAAAAGCACTTAAGGGCTAGGGAAGAAACGAGGTCATTTCCAGGGATGCAGAAGAAAAGGGAAATGTCAGCTCATCAAGAGTTTAACAGGGTGAATGAGAATAGAGAAGAGATGTGCAAGGGGGGGCTTCAACAGGGATATGATATTAGCTTCACATCCTGTTTGGACATCACAGTGGTCTTGCTATAGAAATGCTCTCATACTCCATTCCTGAAACAGCTCAGATTAGTATGACTGTGAACATCCCAGAGACTGACAATCTTTCAAAAGGGGGGCACTTGTCAGAGAAAATATCTCTCTGAATTGCTTGAGCAGCGGGGTTCATTAATCATGTTGCAGGAGCTGCTAACATATTCAATTTGGAGCCTCCTGGTAGTTATATATTTGAACTCCCTGGCAGAATGAGCAAACAGAGAAACAGAGAAGCAGAATCTACTGAAGTAAATGCCTCAAACTGCCTGCTGGGAGCCCAAAATACAGCAAGGAAGCCCAAACTGTCTGAGGCATGCAACACTGCTAAGTCCTTCAAAAGCTAAAATAAGAGGGGAGGCTTGGAGAACAAACAGTGTTTTGCTCAAACCAGAATTCAACTTGTGAATGACTGAGTTTGTTACTGACAAACCTCTGATTATGCACTAGAGTTATGTTAAATTGAGCATAACTAAGTATAACAGTACAGAGTGCTGGAAGCAGAAACAGAAGAATGCAGACTCAACTCTGAATGTTCTGTGGCCAGTCACTCTAAACCTTGATGCTACTTTTTTCTACTCTAGATTGGAAAGTACTGGGGAGTTATCAGGAAATATGTCAGCCAGAAGGGATCTCATGAATGTTATGTCCTTACCTTTATAAAATCAACTTTCTTGTTTTCAATGCACAGCTGCTGAATAGTTTCCATCAGGTCCTTGCAGGTGTCAAGATCCTTTCCACAACTGAGCAGTTGTCCATACAGGGCTTCCAGCTTTAGCTTCTTCTCTTCCCCAAGATCTTGCAACTTTTCTTCATATCTCTGAGCAAGTGTTTGCATCACATCATTGCAACGTATCTCAAAGTTCTGCTCCTGCCTCCCAAAATTCTCCTGTAAGGCATTTGAGTTTTATGTTATTCACGTAATGCCTTATCCAAAGCCCAGTGAGAGGGAAAATCATACTGAAAGCCACTGAAGGGATCATTTGAAAATATATATTATGAGGAAAAGTTGGAGCAATTGGGATTATTCAGTCTAGAGAGGATTTGATTAGTCTTCAAATGCAGGAAGCATTGTTTTAAAGCAGCTGATCAATTGTTTTCTGTGTGGACAAGGGGCAGGACAAGAAGTGTAGCGGGCTTCATTATAACAAGGGAGATTTAGGCTGGATATAGAAAAGGACTTTCTAACTACGAGGATGATTAAGCACTGGAAAAGATTGCCTAGAAAGGCTGTGAAATCTCCAGTGTTGAAAGTCTAAGTGCAAGTTAAATAAGCGTTTTCTTGGGATGGTTTAGACAGAGGTTTTTTTTAGATTCATAGATTCATAGATTAAGGGTCGGAAGGGACCTAGTAGATTTTCTAGCCCGACCCCCCGCCAGGGCGGGAGAACAACAAAAAACCCCAAAAAGAGAAACGGGACTCAAATGAGTCCAGCCAGGTAGGCATCCAGCCTCTTCTTAAAGACCCCCAGGGTAGGGGCCAGCACCACTTCCCTTGGAAGTTGGTTCCAGCTCCTAGCCGCCCTAACTGTGAAGTAGTTCTTGCGGATGTCCAATCTATACCTCCTCTCCATCAACTTGTGCCCATT